AGTGCATGGAAAAAAGATAGTTGGCTGACTAGTTGGGCATGCGACTCATACTAGTTGTGGGGTAGTTTACAACGAGTTCATTTGTCTACAGGGTACGTATAATCTGTATTAACCAAAAAAAATTCAATGGATTTACTAGTCTTTCTAATTGTAGTTTATGTATTTAAAAAAAATGTTATTCTGGGTGAAACATTTTAGCCGTTTTTAGCCGTTTTTTTTGTCCAATCTAGCCGGTCGCCCTGAAAAGTTCTGGCAACACTGATTGTAAGCCTTAGCGACTTAAAATTGCACTTTATTATACTCAAATTTAACGGCTTTTTTTAGCAAATTTTACGGGGTAAAAGGATACTGTTGCAGGGCTAATACATCTAGGATCATGGAAGAAGGCTGTAAGATCTGTAACCTAATAATAATAATAATAGATTGGCGCTTACACATATGTTAGTTGTTGGCCGAGCTTCTCCTCGGCTTGAGGCTGCGCCTTGATGTTGTCCCACAAGGCGGAGGGACCTACAGTATTACGCCGACTCCGAACGGCGATTGTATTTTTATGAGAAGCTGTTTTTCATGGCAGAAATACTTTCGGAGGCTTGCCATTGCCTGCCGAGGGACGACCGCTGTTAAGATGTTATTTTTTGCGATGTTGCTTTGACCAGGGCTTGAACCCAGGCATTGCGGAGTGGAAGCGCGCACTGCTACCACTACACCACAGCGGCCGACAAGATCTGTAAGCTGCTGTGGAAAAAATTTGCAAAATAATTTTTTGTCCCGCATTCAACTCTCATAAATATGGTCATCGTAACTATACCCGCACTTAACCTACCTGGGAAGACGCTTACATTATTACCTACATTTGTACATACATATGTACTTATGTATGAATGCATTTATTCCACTTTATGTGCCGGTACTAATTATGTATAGATTTCCACTGAGCAAAAACGCATCGTAAAAAAAGGCAAGTGCAGCACCGTACTCGTGATAGAAGTAAAACTTCTTCAATGGAATCGAATTCAATGTTAAATATTTGAGTAAATTATTTAGATTTAGATAGGGGTCTTAGCAATTTATTTGGGAAAAATAAAACATTTAGATTTTTGTTGGGATTTTCGCTGATTTTAAATTTGCTATGCCAAAATAATTGATATCAAATAAAACACCTCTTTGAGGTAAAATTTTTCGAGTGGCGAAAGCTGAACTAAAAACACAGAGAGACGAAAATTATACTCATTTTTTTAACTGCCCTGGAAACTGGCGCAAAATAGTATTATTTATTCGGAACGTTGCGACGTTCTGTCTACTCTTAGAAATACAACATAAAAAAATCAGAACTGCAGCAACGATTCGTATGAATAATACTATTTTTCGTCAGTTTGCAGGGCAGTTAAAACAAATGCGTAATACCACTAGAAATAATAGCGGTAATGAGAACACTGATTTTTTCCACTAAACCAGCTCCACTATCGCTATAGTAGTGGTAGTTAAAAGCATAGTGCACTCAAAGATTAGTGAACTACGCCCATGTCTGATGCGTATAATTTTCGTCACGAAATTGATGTCATAAATTTTGTGTTTCGAGTTCAGCTTTCGTCACTCTAAAATTTTACCTTAAAGAGGTGTTTTATTTGGTAGAATTAACAATAACAATCACGCCGTCAAGTTTAAATATCGGCAAATCAGCCCTTCGAAATTTGCTGCTAGGATATGCGTTATAGCTTCGCAAATTTTACCCCTACCGAAACGAAAGATGTATACGCATAAAAAAAAAAACAATTAAACCACAACATTCTATTTAGCTAAAAATCCCATAACGGGACAAAATCCCACGCACAATTTTTATGGTGCGAAAATCCCAAATTATGGGTGAAATCGCACGAGTTGGCAACACTGCTCATCACACGCATTCTTACCACGATTGAGAGAATACATTTTATCATTCTTGCATTCTTACGCTCTTCTCATAAGTTGTAGCTCAGGCAGCAATGAAGCATCGTCAGCGTTGCCGTTTGACACGATTGTACCTATTTTGATACTATACTTTTTAAATTTTAAGATTTAATACTTTGATACTTCTGTGTTCACAAATGCCCCTTTTGATACTTTTGGCTGGCAGTAATTAATAATATTGCTAGTTTAAAAGCAAATAATTTTCTTCTGGTGATTTAAAGTCTTAAAATTTTATATGTAGATATTTATAAGCTTGATTTGGTAACTCTTATAAGGGAAATACAACCCGAAATTTCTTTGCACACGCTGCTGTTATAGGGCCCCTAAACCACACAAAAACGGAGCGCAATATCGGCTTGCATCGGTCTGTTTGTGTGGTGTATGGGGTACTTTATACTAAATTACACAGTTATTGCGCTAAAATCAAAATCATTTTGATATTTTGATCATGCTTGTGTTATTGTACAATAACTTGTGTTGTGTATNGACTCTAAAATTTTACCTTAAAGAGGTGTTTTATTTGGTAGAATTAACAATAACAATCACGCGGTCAAGTTTAAATATCGGCAAATCAGCCCTTCGAAATTTGCTGCTAGGATATGCGTTATAGCTTCGCAAATTTTACCCCTACCGAAACGAAAGATGTATACGCATAAAAAAAAACAATTAAACCACAACATTCTATTTAGCTAAAAATCCCATAACGGGACAAAATCCCACGCACAATTTTTATGGTGCGAAAATCCCAAATTATGGGTGAAATCGCACGAGTTGGCAACACTGCTCATCACACGCATTCTTACCACGATTGAGAGAATACATTTTATCATTCTTGCATTCTTACGCTCTTCTCATAAGTTGTAGCTCAGGCAGCAATGAAGCATCGTCAGCGTTGCCGTTTGACACGATTGTATCTATTTTGATACTACACTTTTTAAATTTTAAGATTTAATACTTTGATACTTTAGTGTTCACAAATGCCCCTTTTGATACTTTTGGCTGGCAGTAATTAATAATATTGCTAGTTTAAAAGCAAATAATTTTCTTCTGGTGATTTAAAGTCTTAAAATTTTATATGTAGATATTTATAAGCTTGATTTGGTAACTCTTATAAGGGAAATACAACCCGAAATTTCTTTGCACACGCTGCTGTTATAGGGCCCCTAAACCACACAAAAACGGAGCGCAATATCGGCTTGCATCGGTCTGTTTGTGTGGTGTATGGGGTACTTTATACTAAATTACACAGTTATTGCGCTAAAATCAAAATCATTGTGATATTTTGATCATGCTTGTGTTATTGTACAATAACTTGTGTTGTGTATGGCGACTACTGCAAAATTTTTAGTCTAGTTTTGATTTTGGTGTCCAGATCGTTCTGAAAAATATGGATTAGGGTGTAATGTAAATTGATTATTTTCCCTAATGGTTGAGTATTAATCTAAGCCCTCCGGCTGCTTTTCTCAAGCGTATGACGCCTGTTTCGGATTCAAACACGTCAATTTGGAGTTGAGTGAAAGAATGTTTATTCCTCGGCTCATCGNATCATGCTTGTGTTATTGTACAATAACTTGTGTTGTGTATGGCGACTACTGCAAAATTTTTAGTCTAGTTTTAATTTTGGTGTCCAGATCGTTCTGAAAAATATGGATTAGGGTGTAATGGAAATTGATTATTTTCCCTAATGGTTGAGTATTAATCTAAGCCCTCCGGCTGCTTTTCTCAAGCGTATGACGCCTGTTTCGGATTCAAACACGTCAATTTGGAGTTGAGTGAAAGAATGTTTATTCCTCGGCTCATCGCCGATATATATATCACAACATGCTTACAATCTATTACAATAGTTTAGTTATAAAATATCTTATTTACTATGAGTAACCAATCACATAGCTTTGTTACTCCCTAAGCTGTTTCCCCTTATTTACATTCATTGTTTATTTACTTTGGGTACTCATGTTGTATGCGCTGACTCATATCGCTCGTCACCCGATCTTGCATTTGTAATAGCAAGCGTCAAGTGTGCCTCATGCGGTGCCACATGCTAAGCCACAGTTCAAGCCAGTACGAGTGTTCTGCTTGTCTCATCAATCCACACTCGATAGTTACAACAAATACGCCGACTCAGCAATATGAGCCACAAGTGTTTGATGTAGGTTAGGCACACTACATCCTACCCCTCAAGAAAAATCTAAATTAGTTGTAATTTCTTAAAATTCAAAGTAAGTTATACAAGTAGATACATTTTAATTGCTGTGTCTACATTTGACATATTATTATGTAATTCTACTTTTTTCTTATCTATCAGTAATGTACTATTTGGCCCTTTTTGATCTATAATCTTGAATGGACCTTTAAATGGTTTTTCAAACTTTCTCTTCTTTCTTACTTTTACATATACAAATTCTTCTACTTGGAAATTTGCGTTTTTTACATTGCTCTGCTTATTTCTATTCACAATTTTTGATTTTAATCAATTTTCTTTTGCTTTAGTGTGCGCGTATCTCAGTTTCAGTTTCAATTCTGTTACATAATCATCAGTATTGTACAATGTTTCTCTATTCTTTATTATCTCACATGGTAATGCACTTAATTTGCCATAGACTAACTCAAAAGGAGTATATGTCGTAGTTGTATGTGGAGTTGAACTATAACTATAGACGTAATATGGAATTATTTCATCCCAATTGTCTACTCCTTGCATGGTCATCAAATAGTCGTTGAGGACCCTGTGATTCCTTTCTATAGTTCCTAAAGTCTCATGATAAAATGGTGTTGAGGTTGTTTTCTCTATTTTAAGCAACTTGCATATGTTCTTTAAGAGTCCGTTTTTAAATGCCGTGCCTTTGTCTGTCTTCATTTTCCTAAAACAGCCGTATTTTAATATAAATTTATCTACTATTGCTTTCGCTACGGTCGCTACGGTCGCTGCTTCTTTGTTTTCTAAAGGAATCGCCTAAACAAATTTGGTTAACTCACGCTGAAGGGTTAGTATGTACCTATAGTTATTAGATGGCCTCAGCGGCCCTACTGTGTCTATCGTGATTACTTCAAAAGATATGCTGGGTGTTTCCGTTATGTTAAACCTTTCTTTTGTGTATTTCGTTTTCTTGACCTTGGCACAGATTTTACAGTTATTAACG